AAAGTGAGTCCAGGATAGCCAAGGCTACACAGAGAAACTCTGTGTCAAAAAACAAAACAAAATGGTAGGCTCTACTTGCATTTGAAAAGCATATTGCCACATCATCAATAGTCAACATATTTATTCACATTATATAAATTACAAAGCCACTCTTTATATGCTATTATGTATGTATTGGTATGCACATATGTACCTATATTCTCAAATAATATGCTTATGTGGGCATGGAAATTCAGTCTTTAATGACAACATGTGCCCATTGGGACAGCTCCATGTACTGCTTTGAGTGTAAAGTGCAATTAATTCTCAACCAAATTATAAACAAAGAAATATAAAGTTTGTCCAAAGACAAAACAGTAGAACTTATAATTAAAAATAAAAGCAAATAGCAAAAGATAAAAAGAAATATGTTTAACTTAAATAATTATAACGAGAAGCAAAGTTAACTTCTCAGTGAAAAAGATGTTTTGTTTAATGATATAATCTATCTCCTAAAAATGTCTACTGCATTTCCTAGAAGGCTTTGATGATATGTACAAAATGATGAGTAAATTATTTCTCAAGTGTGATGTATCGAGGAAGTAGACCAGTAAAACAAAAAGAGTAATATCACAGCACACAAACAGAAAATTCACATTTAGACAGAAATCTCACAGTTTACATCACATTCATGTTTAAAATTAAACAGCACTTTTTCACATTTTGAAAATTTCCCCCCTAAATGTGGAAAGAACAGCAAGCCAGGACTTTAATATAATATTTTTTCCAACCTGGAACAGCTGCAAAAAAAAAAAAAAAAAAAAAAAAAAATCTTGCTGGAGATAAGCTTGGTTATAAATACCAACATTTCTTTTAAATAAGGGAGTCCGGTTTTCATACCATCTGCCTCTTTCTAAACAGGGAAAACCATGAAAATCATACACCAGGACATTCCTTTCATATAAATCATTTAAAAATGAATGCAGTAAAAACCCTGTGGATTATTCTCAGCCATAGTTTTTATACTTGCCTATTGTAGCGCGTGCGCACACACACACACAAAGGATTTCAAGAAAGTAATTTTTATTCCATGAAAAAATTACATAAATAACCCCCCAAAAGTTACCTCCCAAATTTTTTCATTTTATTTGGTATTTTAAATTTTATTTATTATTATTTATTACGATTTATTCACTTTGTATCCTGGTTGTAGGCCCCCCTCATCTCCTCCCAGTTCCACCCACCCTCCACATCCTTACTAGCAGGCGGTGCTGTAGTGACGGTAGCCATTCTGAAAGGAGTAAAATGGATTCCCAAAGCAATTTTACTTTGCATTTTCCTGATAGGTAAGCAATTAATTCTTGTCAAACATGTAAAAAATATACATGAGGACAAAATACAGCTTTGTCTATAAATAAAGCTAAGAAAGCTGGGCACATCCAGATGCAGAAGACATTAGATACTTAGCTTTAATCCTGCACAAAAAATCAACTCTCAGTGGATCAAAGACCTCAATATAGGACCTTAAGCCCTGAAACTGCTGGAGGAAAACATTTCAAGATATAAAGGTAGGATGGACTTTCTTTAGACAGACTCCAATTAAACAGAAAATAACCCTAAGGCTTACGTGAAATTTAAAAACTATACAGCAAAGAAACCATCAGCAGAGTGAATAGACAGCATATAGAATGAATGGAAATCTCTTCCAGCTATATTTCAGTGAGGGGTTAAATAAAGAATACATGAAGAACTGCAAAAACTAAAAACCCAAAACAATCTGTCTGCCAATAATTGAGCTAATGAACAGAATGGATAGTACTCAAAGTAGAAACACAAAATCCAATACAGATTTTTTAAAAGTGTTCCACACTTTCTATTACTCTAACTATAAATGATTCAGGGGAAAGACAAATTATGGAGATAATTTTAAAAATTATGTCCAGGATTTGTAAGCCCTAGGAGAGATGAAGAGGATGCAGGAAACTCCCAGAGCAGTGAGTCTATTCTGGGGGACACATGTCCTTATGCATAGGTTCAAACCCACAGAGTTAACGGTGCCAAGAGTGAGGCCTGTTAGCTTGGAGTGAGGGCACACGGCTGTGCCCTGCTTAGACTAGCCCACACACCTCTGTGCTGGGGCATGTGGATCACAGGTGAGGCCACCTGTGTTTTAGGACAGGATTGACATGGGAAATCACTGCATCCTTCTTTCTACCTTGCTGGTACCCTAAAACTGATCACAAAGCAGCTTTATAATAAAATATTCTCACAAGATGCTTCTAGAAAGTACTAGATAATTACTTAAGTTTCAAAATTTTTTTTCTATTAAAATTTTCATCACATTCTTCAATATTTTAGTACATAGCTAGATTGTGTATCACAAGTCATTCTCATAAAAACACAGAATTACTTTAAGGGATATGTTTTTCAATAGTTTCTGAATTTGTAACGGTGCAAATATCACTGAGCTTCTCAATAATTTTTGCAGTAAACTGTGTGACCAAGTTTAGTGAACGCCTAACGCCGCACTGCAATTCGGTACCTCTCATCCGATGCCGCCCATTTGGCTCCACGGTTATCCCCATTCCCATCCCTCTCAAATCCTCCAGCCACTTCATTTTAGTCTGGACACATAGGCTTGTTTCCCAGGTCAAACAAATAAACATAGGACACCAAGTAACAATCACTCACTCTGCAAGCTTGCCATAACTCCTCTCTTCCCCAACACATTAACAGACAGACACACACACATCCTCGGAGAGAGTCTGTCTGCAATGGTGCCTCTGTCTTGATCTCACAGCACGGAGGACCCTGCTCTCTGCCAAGGCCTCTTCTGTGCTCAGATGCTCCCCAGTCTCAGCCTTTCTACCTGCTGTCCTCCTCCTTTCTATCTTCAGTGCTGATGGCCAAACCTGAAACCTCATCTGCTCATTAAATTCATATCCTCACTGACCTCCCTACCTCCAGTTCTCCCTCAAATCCATCTCCACAGCACTTCTGGAATAAGCTCCTGAAACTTAAATTTAGTTGAAAACCTCCATGGGGCTTATAGTTCAGTTTTCCTTTTTCCTTAAGTACAGTTCTTACTCTACTGTAGTCTGGCTTTTCTGTTCTTACCAATATTTCTACCTTTGTAACTGCCAACACACACATACCACACACTGGCAGAAAGGTATGGCAGGTGTGAACAAGACCCAACTCTTCTGCATCCTTCCACCTAGTAGAAGGCAATGCTGGTTCTCATCACTCTTGAATCTGGAAGTAAGCTATTTGTTTTGACCAATGAAACTCTAAAGTGAAAGCCAGAGGAGCTGCTGAGGTCATAGGAGTGTGTTCAGGTGAAGCCTTTTGTGTCTGGGGCACTTAAGTTTTTCACTTAATGCATTTTGGGCATACCACTTATGTAAAAAAGATAAACTTTTATGGTTTCAAGATATTGAGATATGGGCTTGCTTACATGAATAAGTAAATACACCATAGCCAACGCCATTTTAACTGTTAATCATGAAGCATTTCCATCCTCTGATTTAGATCATTACAACATTTTGTTGCACGTTTTCATAACACAGCATTGCACTGAAATAGCTGTTTTAATTATGTTTTCTTTATTAAACTCTATTCCTCAAGGCAAGAACTGTGTACAACATTTAGTAGCATCATGGCCAAGCAGCATTTATTTCTTTTTAGGTACTTTATAAACAATCATGAATTTACCCAGCCCTCGCTTATTAATACCCAAAGATTATTCTAGCTAGTGAAGACTGAATGAAAACAGAGCCATCACAATACTGCGTTATTTACTCCTTTTGCTGCAATCAAATAACCACGAAAGAAACAAAGAAGAGTAGGAAGAATTTATCTCGGCTCCCCATTAACTCCACAGTTCACTGTAGGCCTGATGCATAGCAGAAGGTCAGATCGCAGTCCCACAGCAGGAGCACAGGGCTGTGTACTTACATCCCCGTGGACCAGCACAGTCTGAAGCACAGAGTCACTTCCTCCACTACCTTCCACTCCCAAAGCTTCTAGATTCTCTCCTCAAAGCACTGAGTGCTCAAATACACAAGGCTGTGTGGCACATTTCACAATAAAACCATAATTGTATATTGTATACTTGCTAGTGGTAATCATAATAAATAAGTATAAAATATGTGGCTTATTAGATATTGATGAATACTACAGGATAGAGAGCAATACATAGTGTTGACAGCAGACCTTCTAACTGAAAAGTGAGCTCTTAATACATATAGGTAGTGATATTTTAATAGTGCAAAAGGAATTAGACAGAGTAGAACAACAAAGCATAAGTTTGCTGATAAGGGGAAAGCCTGGAATGTACAAATGAGTGAGTTCTAAGCCTGGAACAAATGAATGGGTAGAAGAGCAGAGACGGAGGGGCAGGTTTTGTATAGAAATCCTGGCTGACTTCACAGCCTCCTCTTTCAGCTTGAATGTCTAGAGAACCCTTCAAGGCTTGTGGATCATGACAGAGAAAGGACAAATGAGGTCAACAGAGCAAGAGGCTGATCCTCTAGCCGTATTTCCTTCCTGGAACTCCTTTGAAGCCGTGTGCCAATAAATTAAGAAACAGTAAATGTAATGCTGTATAGCCAAGTTTATGCTCACTAATTAACACATCGCAATATTGACTAAAACCAATAAGTAATTATCAAAACATTATAATGTAGTAAAGCATAATAATGCTCTGAGTGTCAGGAGACTGCACGTCAAGTGTGGCGACAGGTCAGTACACAACGGTACAGTACATTTAACAAACAAGTCAGATCAAAACCCACAGCCTAGGAATCTTGCTTGGTTTACTTTGACATGTCTAAATTACACAAAATAAAAACATGCAGAACATTTTCTCATTATAATAGTGCCCTCTGTAACAAAAAGCCATGTTCAGAACCCAAGTTTATTGCCAGAAGCAAACAATTCAAACCAAGAAAAACAAAGTAAAAGGAAACAAACCACAAATCAAAACCCCCTTTTCCAAGTGTTCAATCAAGAAAACACACCTTACACCGTGTCCTTGAGGCTGCCAAGTCTAAGCTCTGGAAAGCGGCCAAAAAGAGAGCTGCTTCCTGAAGCAAGGTCTCAGAAGCTGTGCTGCATCTCTGGCAAATTCAATTCCAGTCTCCAAAAATTACACTCTTGGTCAATTTTTCTTACTGTAATTTAAAATGAGAATATATGGACAAATTAAATGAATGATTTCCAGTTACCTAATTGTCTAAGAACAAGACACACTGAAGGGGCTGGAGAAAGATCAGTTGTTTAAGAGCTTGCTGTGCAAATCTAAGGACTAGAGTTCAAGGTCCAGAATGTATTAAAATGAAGGGGCCACCAAAATTCTTAGTGTTTGGGAAGCAGACAGAGCGTCCCTGAAGCAAGCTGGCTAACTGGACTAGCCAAGTCAGTAAGCTCAATATATTATGTAGAGATAATTGAGGAGGACTCCTGATGTCAGCCCTGGACCTCCAGATACAGGCACAGTACATACAACCATAAATCAGAACATACAAACACAAGCAAAAAATATTTTAAAAATTAAAATGAAACAAGCAAACAAAAAACAAGCACAATTTAGAGTTTCATATAATTTCTTTTTGTTTTATTCTTTGATTCCTGGTTTTCTAACAGTTACCTATTCAACCCAAAACAGATTTAACTGCCAAAGTTCATTTGGAAAATAATGCATCTTCATTAGGCACAATCCCATAATAATGGCTAGGAGAAGGTCCCTTATAGGAAACCACTACAGAAATTTCCTTAACCAAATAAATGTGCAAAGGTCATCTGAGTGGGGGGGGGGGGGGGCTCGAGTATGTTCTAGAGCAGTGGTTCTCAACCCTCCTAAAGCTGCGACGGTTTGAAACAGTTCCTCATGCTGTGGTGACCCCCAACCATAAAATTATTTTGTTGCTACTTCATAACTGTGATCTTGCTACTTTCATGGATCACAATGCAAATATCTGATATGCAGAATATCTGATAAGCAGTCACCAAAGGTCCACACACTGAGAACCACTGTTTGAGAATCATACATGAGTGTACAAAAACAAGTTTCAGATATCTTTTAGTTATTTCAGCTTGTATATCATCAACTCACAAAGCAACGATACTTAATCACACATTTTAAAGTGCACGTTACTTCCAAAGCACTTAACAGTCATAATAGAAAATAACCATGTATATATAATTTATTCATTTTTGTTCAGTGTGTACACATGCATTTACCGAACATTACGAGTCATATATATTATACACATATTATGTATCAAACCCCGAGCTTTCCTCTAGTTAACACTGAAATTACTCTGTACAGATGAGAATCAAACTTACATGACTCCAAACTGCTTTCTAACAACTAAAAACTTATGAATTCATGCACACACATGAATTTATGTGAGCGAGGGTGTCTATGAAAGCCAAAAGGGGGCTCCAGATCCCCTGAAGCAGTGCAGCTTACGGTAAGCCACCCAGTCTGCGTGCTAAGAACTGATCTTTGCTATTGTGCAAAAGCAGAAACACTGTTAACTGCTGAACCATCTCTCCAGCCTCACGGTCATTTGAAAGTACAGATAAAAATTCAAATCAAGAGTCCTAACATGAAATAATGGCTTTTAAGCAAATACTGCTCTTACAGTATAAAGTTTGATGCTTATCTCATACTACAGACTAAAGATGACAAAAATAAATCACAGTCCTAAATGCAAGGGCTAGCATTATAATATATTTGCAAAAAATGTCTGAGTTAAGCTTCATAATTTTGAGCTATATATGTAAATGTTGCTTTTATTTCTTCAGAGGAGGGGATGAGATTACAGATGTACCCAATCTGTATGAATTCATGACTTAGGTTGAGCCCAGAGTATTCCTTTCTCTGTTCTAGGTATTCCCAGGCCTAGGCCTGGAAGCTTCTAACCTAAATACAATCTAGTCTGGTGTAAGGCCAGACCCTGAAGGCTTCAGCTTCAAGCCTTCATCTACTAACCTAGGCTTAGGGTGTTTTCAGCCTCTGAGACTTACTGCTGAATAAACCTACCCTTTCTAGTTATTTCTGGTCCAACTCAGCTGTTCTGGCTCAAACTCCTCTCCAAGCTGACTGATTCAAATTGGCTTCTCTCAACTTCTGACTGTGTTGCTCTACTTAGAAAAACTAACTCTGAACTCCACAAACTGAACTACACTGACTACACAACTGAATTCAACTGCATTCAGTGAACTGCACTGAACTCACTTCCCTATCTTGTTCCTGTGAGAGTTGTGTGTACCCTATCTCTGCCTCATTCTGCCAAATCTTTCTCTGATTAGTCACTTTGTCTCTCAATTAGGCCATTAACTTTCAAACAAGCCTGCTTCCTTCTATAAACTGACTCTACCTTCATTCCTTGGGATTAAAGGTGCATACTAAGGGTATTTCTGTATTCCAGCCAGCTCCTACTGTAATCCAGGATGTGTCTGCATTCTATCTGCATCACATAGGCCTCGGAGGTCTTTAGATGTGATCTCTTGCCAAAGCAGCTAAGTTGCTGAATTGAAATTCCTCTACATACATAAGCTCCTTAGAGAAGCAGAGTATTGTAAGTTTCAAAGAACAAAAACTACAAAGATGACCCACACAGTGGGAGTAACATTTACAATCAGTTATTAGATAAAAGTTTTGTACTTAGGTTATATGAAGGACTTTTACTTTTTAGCAATTAAAAAATATTTCCAATTTGCCAGTAATCAAAGCTTTTGAAATAATAGTTCTCCAAAGACTTTTCAAATTTCTAATAAGCTCATACATTATTTATTATAGAAAATGAGAACAGAGACACATCACTTTCACCTGCGCACGGTTGGCTACACCAAAAGAAAAACATTGACAGTGGAGGGAGATGGTGGAGAGATTAGAACCCTCAGACATTGGGAAGGAAAGTCAAAGAGTGTACTGCTTTGGAGAGCAGTCAGCAACTGCGTTGAAAAACACAAACACAGAATCACATATGAGTAATCCTTCTGCTCTTAGATGTACATTCAAAAGAACTGAAAGTATCGCTATATAAATCTTGCATGTGTGTCTTTAGAATGGAATCATTCAAACAGCTTCAAAGAGGAACCTATCCACAATGAACAGACTGAAAAGTCAAGGCACAGCCACATAGCGGGATATTATCCAAAAAGGCAAATCAAATGTTGATGCACATTAAAACATGGATGATCCTAGAAAAAAAAAAAAAAAAAAAGAAAAAAGCTAAGTGAAAAAGGGCAGGCAGAAGAGCTCACTGAATGTGTTGTTCTCTTTACATGAAATATTCAGAAAGGGAGAAATCAATGGTGACCGTAAAAAGATTGAGGGGGGCTGTAGAGGTACAAGCGATAAAGTGTGATTTCTAATGAAGAAAAGATTCCTTGCTGAAATAAAAAATATTTCAAAATTAGACAGTGTTGATGGTTGTACAGTTCTACAAACATTCCAGATCATTTTTAAAATGCTAAATCTTATGCTTGTGAACAGTATAGCTCAACATACAGGTTAAATAAAAGCGTCACACAATCCATTCTAAAGTTCTTTTCTAAAATTGGAGGGGCAAGTGCTCCCCGGCATCTGTTAGCTTATGTAAAGGTATCATGTCCATCTCTCATAAGTGTGAGACTCCTGAAGTGAATCGAGGATGAACAGTGAAGAGATTCCATGGCCACTGAGGGCACAAGCACTCCAAGGGCAGTTCAGCCCTGGCTGTCACCTCAATCACAGTTCATGCAAAAACTCCAGAAACAGTAATTGAACAGAATACTGAATTTTTTACAGTGTGAATAATGGATACTGGCCCCTTATAAATGATGATGCAATTACTGATAATATTGAGCCGTTGGCATTCTTAAAATGGCAGTTAGCATGGCAAGCACCGAGATTGTGTAATCAGCTGTACGGTCGGAACTTGTTTTCACATCCCTTGGGAATAAAGCACGATTAGCTGTAACTGAAGAAATGGTTCCCCTGGGATGCAGTGAGTGACCTACTTGAGCATGCTACCTTGAGAAGGAACAGGACAGAAATCTGCATTAAAATCCACCCACGGAGTTTACTCTTTACAGAAATCTATGTGTTCTGAGCTATGGGCTGACATTCCATTTGAAAAAAAAATGAGGAAAAAGAATATTTGTAGGATGAGATATGAATACCAAAGTATATATAAATATTATTATCCAGAAAATTATTTCATTATCAACTAAACCAATGTTAAAAGTGGAGCACAGATAGTCATATTTTCTGCAGGCACTGAAATGTTTGCTTTCACAACAAAAAAATTGTCTATGCATTAAATTTTGAGATTGCATTATCCACATCTAAACTATAAATCTAAATATGTTCAAGTAGCCGCTAACTAAATTATCAACTTAAGCTTTCATGAATTTTTTATAGACCATATTTAAAGGTATCATAGAAAGCAAACATATATGATTATAGATTGTTTTGTCTAAATTGATATGCCTAGGAAGACCAGAAAACATTATATTTTGTGCCTTATAGGTAACTTAATCTTCTAAACTTTGAATGATTTTGACTTTTTTAGCACATATGTTTATACACAACAAAATCATATACTACCTGTGTTCCTAAGGCAGTTAAGAAACTGTTTACAGTCCTTAAAGGAGGGTGTTAAAAACAACAAAGAGGACAAAATTTCGTTATGTGATAACAAATAAAGAACTTCAGGGAATGCTGTGTTTGCAAGGTTTGAGAACTAATATCTTAACAGGCTGATCTGATCAACTGTTGGACTCTTTTAAAACCTCCAGTAGGTCCCCTGCTACATGGTGCAAATTATTTTACATAGTGTATATCAGCCTTCTTCACTTGGCCACTGGGTCCCTGTGGCCCCAGCCTCAGGAATGTTAGGAATAGTCTCTCCTAGCCACTGAACTCCTTGCTATGTTCTAACCAAATGCTACCCCTGCTTTTATAGAGTCAACAGCTCCACAGCTCCACAGCTCTGTTCCCTGTACCTCAACACAAGCTTTTTCCTAGACTTATCAACCTCAGAGTGACAGCAGCTCTTAAAACCTCATTTAATTTTACAATTGATCTGTGTAATTCACCTACGTTTCCCAGATACGTCTTTGATTATATGGTTGATATGCAATTCACTTATTGAAACACTTTACCTTTATAGTCACT